TAAAAGTAAATCAAAGATAGAGTTGTTACATAAATTATTGCAGACGAGACACTTACTGTGAATTCGTACAATCAAACTTTCCATATGAAATATTTTATAAAATTTCAGACAACAGGATCTAACTGTTTGTCAGCTCTATGCCTTATAAGGGAAGAGAATTTGAAAGTTTGTTCCAATGTGTCCTAAAAGTGAAGTAAGAAAAAAATGCACCTTTTATATCCAGATCACTCATAATTCATCATTAACAATAAGTGCTGAATCAATTGCTTTTCTCTTTAGAGGTTATTTATAAGGAATGTTTAGAAAAATGGTGGTATCTCATTTACTCTGCTCTGTTTACCCCTTCCTCTTTCTGAACATCCTTTAGTCTTTTCTTCAATCCCTTCCGCGATGAGTAGCGTCACACTTAGGCGAATATTTCTTTCTATGTATTAGTAGATTCATTTTTAGCGATCATCACATTTTTCTTATCAAATATGTCTTTCAGCTTTTGTTTTCTTGTGCATTTATGCAACGTAGTTCAATAGGATGTATCTTGTGACGGTATCCTCTCATTTGCGAACATACAGTCAAAAATTGAAAGTTTATTCAATTAAATTATACTTCATATTTTTAATTAATTTCAATTTTCCAGATTAAAAGCGATTGAAAGTGTCAAATTTTCGATTTTTAATTCATTCAAACTCGTTTTCTGGACAGAACTCTGAAAATTAAAATCATTTGCTTTTGTTATTTAAAATTTTCTACTGAAACGAATCTTAACAACAGTTTTATTTGAAGAAGCATAATTTGCAGAGTTCGCTTGCTATAGGCTTGCAGAGTTTCAATTCATTGAGCTCTTATTAGTCGAGTGCGCTAAACTACATATTGCGCTTTTTCTTTTTTCTAAATTAAATCTCATCTTTAGAGTATATTAAGGCCCCCCCCCCCCTCAGGAAAACCGATTTTTCGAAAAAAAATCTCAAATCGAGTTTTTTTTCATAGAAAGATTTGCCGCATTTTCCTCTTTCAGAATATATATAGATTTTTGAAAAAAGCTTAATTTTTAAGGGAATTAGACGAGAAACATTATTCATCATAATCATGGTTTTCAAGAATTTTTGAAATTTCGTAAATTTTTTTGGTTTTTTGGTGTTCATCAATGTACATGCGACTGATTGAATCAAACCCCATTGATGTGAGGTTGATGCGTCATACGGTGCTTAAGTTCGTATTTCGAAAACATTTCCAACCACAATAACAGATACACTTAGTGTATTTTGTTCAGAAGTGCAGCTGTTCGAGAAAATTTATTTTTCCACATCGCTTAAGGTGATGTATTAGTGTCAGTGCAAAAGGGTAAGAGAGCAATGCCGCATAAACGTGGTAGATGGCGCTATCTTACTTCGTTTGTAACCAATTGTAACAAGATCTAATGAAACATGTTGAAAATATTCCGTTTTAAAATCACTTGTCAAATCTTTCATGAAAAAATCGATATCTAAAACTTATTTTGTGTTTTTCTCGAAACATAGTTTTTTAACAGTAAAATTGAAATAACTTATGTTTGGCTCAGACTTTCCCAGATATTTTTTTTTATTTTATAGGTCTCAGTTAGGACTAACTTTTCATCGGACGGATTTTTGATATAAAGTTCTTAGCCTGAGAAAAGCTTAATTTATCGCCTTTTTTCGGCACCATTTTTGAGACACGCATATTAAAATGCTTATAAAAAACCAATGGAGGCAAATTTCAAAATTCTATCCGATGAAAAGTTGCATATAGAGGCTAGCTTCGATTTAACACCACCCCGATCTTGATATCTACTATTGTCATTGAATTATTTCGATTCTTGTGGAGGCCAGAAAATACATCGTAACTCTAGTTTGGTAAGGAATACAAGACTGAAATTTTTATCATAAATGTTTCTCATCAGAGCCAACTAGCGCTATAAGTTTCAGACCGAAACTATGATCCAAAGTACCACTTCGATTCTGAGGGGGGGGGGGGGGCTTAACAAGATGGGATGAAGTAAAAGGATTCGGCGAAAAAAAGCGATGGGAATAAAACTAACAGATAATACTATCTTTTAGTCACTGAAAACATTCTCTTACACCACTTGTTTTAACGACATAGTTCCTTATAGTTACGTGTATTCACTTTTAAAACGGGCAACTAGAAATATCTCGCATATTCGATTGATATCAGATTTATACATGTTCTTTTATTTACCATCACGAACATCAGGGATAAGGCACAGACAGAGTAGAAGGTGTACGACAAGCGTGGTTTAAGGCATTTGGCTCCACATTACCTGGAAAGAATACGCCGAATCAAAAACAAAAAGCGTGTCTTACTAACTGCTACTAGATATTCAACTGTTTATTAAAGCCAAATATGTCTGTTCATATGTTGCCGATCATCCAGTCTGACATTTGAACTTTCATTATTGCGACCATTTACCAGTTTTTCATGTCCGAGCACGGCTCATATTTTCTAATACTCGAAATAAATTACTCATGTCACCGCCTTAAATACTTTTTCATTGTTCGTTCTACTTACTGCATCCTATCTGACATTATACTATTTGTACCGACAAAACCATTAGGATAGCATCTTCGAAAGATTTATTTCGAAATGTTTCTTTGTCTTAATGGTACTACATAACCTCTTACTATGCTCTACTGCTCACAATTTAAAAACTACGATGTCTCTTTTCCAAGCCTGAGCTTCATGTATGGCGAAATCACCTTTCTCCACTGCTAGAAAACCTTTCAAACGCCGTGATGCATACATCCTCATATTTTTTACTGTTCTCCATAAACTTCACATTGAGAACTCAAACTCAATGAAGCACAAAGACTATTTACATCACTTCCGTGTCTTCCATACCTGCACGCGAAAACGATCTCATTGCTTACGGTAAAACAGTTCTTGGTCAGTAGACTCGTAATTTGCGTAAAAAAGCTTTTTTTCTGCCTTACAAATGACCATTTGAGCCGTGGAAATGATCATTTATGCCATGGAAATGGACATTTGTCCCATATAAATGGTCATCTGTGCCATAAAAATGGTACTTTGTGCCATAAAAATGGTCATTTGTGCCATGGATATGGTCATTTTTGCCACGGAAATGGTCATTTCTGCCACGGAAATGGTCATTTTTGCCACGGGAATGGCCATTTTTGCCACGGGAATGGTCACTTTTGCCACGGGAATGGTCATTTTTGCCACAAAAATGGTCACTTTTGCCACGGAAATGGTCATTTGTACCAAGCGCTTGTTACAGACAGACGGCCAAACAGACACAGGTGAATTACGGTTTCTAGACCCTATCCTTTCAGTCTAGGGAATAGAGAAGCCTTTCATTAACAATTTTACATTTTTCGAAAGAATTGCTAGTTAGTATCGGGTGTTTCATAAAGAATCGGTCACTTCGTTTTTCGCTTATATCTCGAATAAATCTTTATTATTTGAACTTTATTTTCTTTTATGAAAAGATGCGGCATGAAAAGCTCTATAAAATGAGAATATTTTATTTAACATAAATAATCATTATCATGTTGCAATACACAATACATTCGTTTGCTAAAATCCTCTACACATTGCACAACAGCGTTCGTTGTTCACTGTTTCGGGTACCTTCCAGAACTTTCTATTGTCCTCTAATCCTTTCGGTCATGTCATAGAATTCTTAGGTCATGTTCTAGAATGTTCCATTCTCGATACTATTATATATACTAGTTGTTATCCGTGACAGATACATTTTAAAAAGAAATGAAAAGTAAAGATCTTCGAAAAGTCATACTTTGCAAATATCAATCTGGTGATCATCCACGAAAAATTTTTCGTGATTTAAATAGTGTTTTATCATGTGATATGATTCAGTGATGGGTGAAGATGATTGACAGAACTGGCTTATCGAACCATCAACATTACCAGGTCGACCACGGAGTGCTCGTTCAGATACAGTAATAAGAAAAGCCAAGTTGCAGTTTAAAAAAACATCAGCGAATTTCAAAACAAAAAGTCGATAGAAAAGCGTTTGAAGGATGGATTTTACGAAACTTCAGAAAAGAAGATGTTAGAAAAATCTTGTTTTCAGATGAGAAAAATTTCAATATTGACGAAGTGTATAATTCGTAAAATGATCGTATATGGGCGGTGAGCCGTACTGTAGTCGATAAAAGAGATGGTATTCAAAAAACCCAAAAATTTCCACCAAAGGTAATAGTTTGGCTTGGAGCGTGTTCGAAAGGTTAAGCGTCATTGGTAATACTGGATGAAGGCTCCATTCATCATGAAAAATATATTAAGAAAGTTCTTCCAGTAGCTAAGAAATATGGTTCGGTGATGACTGGACATTCCAGCAGGACAATGCAATACCATATACTCATCAAATTAACACAAAAAATGGTACAGTGATAAAAAATAGTTTATCGTCATTTATTAGCAAAGAATGTTGGCCTGTCAATAGTCCAGATTTTTATCCTTCGGACTATTGCATATGGAACGAGCTTGTTCAGGCAATGGACTGGAATAAAATCAAAACAAAATTGACATTAATAGCTGAATTAAAAGAAGCTGTAACAAAAGTTTCAACGGATGTTGTTGTACAAAGTGTAGAGAATTTTACCAAACGAATGTATCGTGTATTGCAACATGATGGTGATTGTTTACGTTAAATAAAATATTCTCATTTTGTAGAGCTTTTCATGACGCATCTTTTCATAAAAAAATAAAGTTCAAATAATAAAGATTTATTCGAGATGTAAGCGAAAAACAAAATGACCAATTCTTTACGGATCACCCGATACATTGGTGCATTAAAAAGATCGATTTTTTGTCAGCTCAATTTTTCATTTGAATAGGTTGGTTTTTATCAGTATTTATCTAATTAGGTCAATCATATCAATCGATAAGTCTACACAAGTTGAACTGTCCTAAATCTATACTAATTAGTTATCGTGTATTTAATGTTATATTCAACGAACAGGTATTCTCTATTCTAGATTATACTTATGATTACGATAGACGAAGTTGTACCAGTCAATAACTCTTTACTAGAACAATATTTGTCGACTGATCCAGAGAGACGTGAAAAATTAGTTTCAAATGTTGTTGTTCGAAAAGATAAGATTACAGATTCACGAGATATGAATCAAAGTCGTAAGCTTACAGAGTAATATGATGTTTTTTTTTGCCATACAATATCAATTTTAAATTTTTTTTTGTTTTATCAGAGGATTAAATTTGCCAATAATGTCAACAAGGACGGATGTTTCCATTGTCTTTTGTATGCTCATAATTGTGTCAATAATCACGGCTGTTCTTATAATCTATTTTACTGCCCAAAACGAACATGGTATGTGCTTCATTTATAATTTTCTTTTTTACATTTAAATAATAAAAATCCGAAATAGCATTGTAATTAGAAATCTCTTCAATGTTCACTTGACGTTTAGAACTATGATTGCCTTTACTAACGAAATTCAGATTGATAAAAATTGATGGTTAACATTAATACGCAAATCCGAACACTTTATAAAAGTCTTATCCATGATCATAAGGCATAGCTCATTTTTCTTTCCTAGACGTAGTATTGTGAGGTGAAGCATAGTTGATGATAGGATAATATAAATTATATACTTATAATATACGTCAAAAGTGTTTGAACATTTTTGGATTTTCAATTTATCTATTAAATCTAAATTATATTCGTTCAAAATTATTGTATAAGTGAATCAAATCTGTACATCTGGTTTACTCTCTGACATGTCACATCACTAACTCATTTATTAGATCAGTCTGAATTTACAAGTTTAAACCGAGTCTACTACCTTTAGTCGTTGTAATAATTGAAATATGAGGTATCAAGACAAGTTTATAATTTTGTTCACCAGCCGTCGTTATTAATTACTGGTTGACAGTTTCTTAGATGAAAGTTAACCATGAATCTGGTCTCGACAATTTTTCTCTGACTCCTGTTACTTATATTCCCTAGAATCAATTTTTTGTTTTTTTGATAGAGGTGCTTTAAAATTCTCTTCAAAATCATGCCTAAACTTTAATTTCAGAACTACAACCAAGAAAACTAAGAAAATTATATACTAGACGAACAATATAAAAACTTAGCAAATTTAGTATTGTTTTTGACTTGAACTTTTTCTTTTACTTTTATTTCTGTAAAAACAACGTAGCAAAAAAGTGAGAACTCAGTCGAGTGTGATACTTTCAAATGTACTCTTTCTCATGGTCTGTAAAAATTTTCTTTTAGAGAAGATGATGTAATCCAGATTCAAGTTTCAAAAATATAGCAAAAATTGGCAACCTCATTTCTGACAATGTACTCAGCAAAAAAAACGGAAAACATGATCAAAGTTTTGATATTGCAGCTAGGTAGAGAAAGGCAATCATTATTGATCAAAACAAAATAAATCTAATCGAAAAATCTATTGTTTTGATGAAGTTATGATACTTTTACTGAAAACACTACCATATAGACTAGATTCACGATTAATTTTCATTTTTTGTGAAGCAGCCTATTTCTAAGCTTATAACTTTCTTATTACATGTGAACTAGTGAAATTAATCAATTGTCATTTTGTAGAACATGTTTTACTGTATCTTTCTGTAAGAGAGACAAATTTACAAACACATGTTTCATAATATAAAAATTTCAAGAGTGTTTGTAGAAAATATAGAAGAATAATATACATAATTGTCAATACATTTATCTTATGTTGTTTGATATCTCAATGATGTTTTTATTCTGTTGATTAGATGAGAATTCTTCTTTATTGAAACAAAAAACACAGTTTTATTGTCTTACGATTTCCTGTTAGTTATTGCTTTTTTCCCTCAATCAATAATTCTTTCATACAACAAAGAACAAACGAATTGTAAATTATACTCTTTTTTTTCTCTCGATTTTTTCAGAAAAAAAGTGCAACTTAACGTATAAACCAATTTTGAATCAAAAAATTGAATATATTTCTTTAACTCGTTCGATAGCAGTTGGTAATTTCAATGATGACGAGTTTTTGGATATTGTAGTTGCAAATTATGGTTCTCATGATATAAGTGTTTTATTTGGAAATGGTCATGGAACATTCTCATATCAAACATCATATTCAACAGGCAAATTGTCTTATCCTTATTTTGTCATAACAAATGATTTCAATGATGACAATCAACTAGATATTATAGTTGCCAATTTTGGAACTAATTCTTTAAGTATGTTTCTTGGAAACATCAATGGACTTTTCGATACTCAGATGATATTCTCAATGGATAATTCTCGACCATTGTCAATGGCTGTAGGTAATTTCAATAATGACACGCGAATAGATATTGTAGTTGCATATTATGGAACTGATGGTATAGGAATACTTCTTGGATTGAACAATGGAACGTTTACATCTCCAATAAAATATTCTACTGGTTATGATTCTAATCCATTATCAATAGTCGTTGGTGATTTCAACAATGACAATCGACAAGATATTGCAGTTGCTAATTTTGGTACCCATAATATAGGGGTGTTTCTTGGATATGGAAATGGGACGTTTCAAAGTATAAAACTATATTCGACAGGACTTAATTCACGTACATGTTCAATCGCTACCGCAGATTTTAACAAAGATAAACGATTGGATATTATTGTTGCAAACTCTGGAACAGATAATGTAGGGATTTTCTTAGGGTGTGGAGATGGAACATTTAAAAAACAAATGACTCTTTCAACTGGCATGGGTTCTAGTCCTCACTATATTATGATAGCAGATTTTAATAAAGATAGTTTTTTAGACATGGCAGTAGCCAACTCGAATACTAACAATGTTGGTGTATTTCTAGGATCTGATAACGGAACATTTGATAGTATGAAAGAATATTCTACTGGTTATCACTCTACTCCACAATTTGTCATAGCTGGAGATTTTAACAATGACAATCAAATCGATATAGTTGTGGCCGACAATAGTTCTAATAGTGTTGGTGTACTTTTAAATAATCCATTGATTAACTTTCAAAGTCCAGTGACTTATTCTACTGGTAATTATTCAAGACCAATCTCTGCCTATCTTGGTGATTTCAATAATGATAATCTTTTGGATATTGTTGTTACTAACTATTGGACTCATACTGTTGGAATATTATTAGGGCTTAATAATGGAATATTTACAAGTCAAATAACCTTTTTAAAAGGTAATTGGTCTTATCCACGGTCTGTAGCAGTGAGCGATTTTGACAATGATAAAAACATTGATATCGTAGTCGCTAATTCTGGTACCGATAACATTGCAGTTTTATTGGGTCTAGGCAATGGATTGTTTGCTAATGAAATTATTTTTGAAACAGGCATCGGATCTCAACCAATGTTTGTAGCTATCGGTGATATTAATAAAGACAAAAACATGGATATCGTAGTTGCTAATTATGGAGCAAACAATATTGGTATTTTATTGAGTTTTGGTAATGGAAGTTTTTCAAATCAAATAATTTTTGAAACAGGCAACCGTTCTAATCCAATTTTTGTTGCTCTTGGTGATGTTAACAATGATAACCATTTAGATATAGCTGTCGCTAATTACAATACACACAATATTGGTATACGATTAGGATACGGTAATGGGTCGTTTGACAATCAAGTGACATATTCAGTTGGAGAGCTAGCATATCCGACATGTGTCACTATTGTCGATTTAAATAACGATGATCAAATGGATATTATTTCAGTTAGATCATTGAGAGATACTTTAGCTGTCTTTTACGGTACTGGCAATGGATTATTTGGACGTTTTATCACTTATTGGACTGGACTTGCTACTTTACCAGTCTCTGTTGTTGTTGGAGATTTTAATAATGACAAATTACCGGATATCATAATCGGAAACAATAATACTAATTATTTAAGTATATATCAAGGAATGGGTAATGGTGTTTTTTCTGGTTTGAGGGGGTATGGGATCAGTAGTTCTCCTGATCAAAATTTCATTATCCTCGGTGATCTTAATAATGATAATCAGTTGGATCTTGTTGTTGTTGATTACAATGGAAATTCTGTAAAAGTTCTTCTCGGACATCCTATATTTGCTTTCAGTAATTCAATAGACTTCTCAACATCTTATGCCTTTCAACCAATATCATTAGCAATTGGTGATTTCAATCGAGACGGTCTGAACGATATAGGAGTATTAAATTTTGATAGTAATAATGTGAATATATTCTTTCAGTATGAAAACGAAACTTTTCTTATGGAACATACCCTCATTACTGCAGGTATTTCTCGTCCGACGGCAATGGTCACTGTTGATTTTAATAATGACAGTATTCTGGATTTGGCCATTGCTAATAGTGGCACTAACAACATAAAATTATTCTTTGGGTATGGAAATGGAAGTTTTCAAGAAACACAAACATATTCTACTGGTTCTGGATCAATACCAAACTCTTTAGTTGTTGCTGATATTAACAAAGATAATCGATTGGATATTGTTGTTGCTAACTTTGAAGCTTACAATATTGGTGTACTTCTCGGATTTGACAGTGCAAATTTTACACAACTTCCATTCTCAGTTATTTATTCAAGTTTTCGACAAAATTTAAAACATTTTATCATCAATGATTTCAACAATGATCAAAAACCTGATATTGTCTTTATTGAAAGTAAAACAAACATGATCGGTATATTTCTTTCATATAGTAATGGAACACTTTCAAGTCTACTAAAATATTCCATTGCATCAGAATCTCAACCAAGTTTTGTAGCTGCTGGTGATTTTAACAACGATAATCAAATGGATATTGTTATTGCTAATAATGGTACTAATAATATTGTCATCTTATTGGGTTTTGGCAATGGTTCATTTGCAAATCAAATAATTTATTCAACAGGCATTGAATCTCAACCAAAATCTATAGCAATAGGTGATTTAAATAATGATAAAAACATGGATATAATAGTAGCTAATTCTGGTAGTAATAACATTGGCATTTTCTTAGGTCTTGGGAATGGAACATTTAGAAATCAAATAACTTTTCACACAGGTAATACATCCATGCCAACGTGTGTAACATTGGGTGATCTGAATGGTGACAATAACATGGATATAATTGTCGCTAATAATGGTACTAATAGCATTGGTATTTTCTTAGGTTTTGGCAATGGTACATTTGTAAATCAAATAAATTTTTCAACAGGCAATAGGTCTAATCCAATCTATGTTACAATTGGTGATTTGAACAATGATAATCAACTGGATATTGTTGTCATTAATAATGCTAATGGTATTGTTGGTATCTATTTAGGAAATAATAACGGGACATTTACAAGTCGAACAAATTGGTTAATTTCTACTAGGTCTCAACTTGTTTCCATGTGTATAGCTGATTTTAACAATGATAATTGTCTGGATATTGCAGTAGCTGCTAATTATGAGTAAATGAATAAAATAGATATGCATGTTTATTAGATCATAAAGTATTTTAAAAGATACAAAGTAAAGTTGTCGGTTATAGTTTATCATACATAAATGAAAGAATATTACGAGTAAGAAAAAAATGTTGACTTAATTCAACATTAAATGTTTCATAATTTTAGAAAGAATCAATAAATTCCTAAGAATTCTGTCATAGATGTGATGTTGAAATTACATAAACTATGAACGATATCTCAAGATCAAAAAAAAAAACAAGCACACTTTTCATTACCTACTATAGATGTTAAAATGTGACGTGTGTCTAAAAAATAGGAAAGTGATCAAAGAGTTCTGATAAAATATTGAAGAGTTAGTAAGGAATTCACTTAATGATTTCAAGTAAAAACAATTGTGATAGACTGTAAGAAATTTCCGTTTATTTCAAATTGAAATTATACAATCCTACAGCTTTAGCAATAAAATATTTTTTATTTTAGAAACCATCTTGAAGATTCAAAATAGATGAAGGACAAGATTGTTTTTGCTTCGCTAAATCTTTAATTAAGCTCGTCTCATTAATTTTATCATCATTGTAGAAGTGGTGAAAATCAGAACTATTCATATGAATCATTCATGTTCATATATTGATAAATCATGACTAAAATCGACTATTGTCTACATTGTTGGCCATTTAATGATAACCATAAAGGATGTTTTACAATATTGTAGAACTCAAATAAGCAATGTTCGCAAAAATACGGTACTAGTAAACGAGGCTCTCGTAATATCATAATCTATCACATACATCAGCTGTGAATGATTAAATATACGATATCTGTTTTCCGTCTTATTCACTCCAAATCGTTAACTATTGTCCGAGACATATTAGTCTATTTAACCCGTAAAAATATGATAGGCCAATTGAAGAAACGAATATAACTACAAGATTATAATCAAAGCCATGCGTCCGTATGCAAATACACATAAGAGATTAGACATAGATAGAAGTTATAAGGAATAGAGATCTTATTGCATAATAACACAATGTAGGCATATGAACGTTTACATCGGTTATAGTTCACTAGCAAAATCTTGCGAATTTTATCAAAAAAACAAAAGGTACAGAGATATAAGAAGATGAGTTTGACGATATATGTCGCTTTAGTTCATTCTATTGTTACGCGGTCTGAGATTAATGTAAATAATTTATATATTCTATTATGTTTTACACAGCGTAATAACGTGCCTATGAAAAAATTAATTGACGAGTCGTTTATGATCGTCAGTACGTCGTTTAAATATGTTTACAGCTTTGTAATCAGATATAAACGATCGTTAATAATAACGGATCTAAGTTTAGGATTGTTGGTTGAGTACTTAAACAGATATTTCTGATAGAATAATTTTTTAAAATTATTATAATAGAAAAATTATAAAGTTTCATATTCTATTTAATTTCAAATTTGCCGTCGAAAAAACATATACACACAAGTGTTTATTATTCATTTTTTTCTCGATAATAAACAGAAGAAGATTCCGAAATACACTATATCATAATATTACTACTAACTATATTAACAGTTAAAAATTATGAAAACTTCTATTTCAGTAATGCAATTTATATGCTCTTTGGTGACGGAACAGGTGGTATTGTCCATCAAATGCAATTCTATCCTAATGAGTTTTATAATCCGCAACACGTGGCAGTTGGGAATTTTAATGGAGATGATCATTTAGACTTAGTTGTGATCGATTATTTTCGAATCTATATATTTTTTGGATCTGCTAATAAAATTTATCTGGACATAGTAACTTATCCAACTGGAAATAATTCATTTCCGACATCTCTTAGTCTTGGTGATCTGAACAATGATAATCGACTTGACATTATCGTTGCAAATTCAGGTACCGAAAATATTGGTATATTTCTTGGAAAAGAGCATGGTAACTTTGAAGTTCAGATTCAACTATCTACTGGAAGATTTTCGAAGCCATATTCTCTGGCTGTTGGTGATTTCAACCATGACAATCATTCTGATATTGTTGTAGCTAATAGTGGCACAGGTAATGTTGGTATATTTTTAGGCTATGGGAATGGTAGTTTCGCATCACAAATGACGAATTTCATCGAGTCTGAGTCTGTTCTTTATTCACTCGCTATAGGCGATCTCAACAATGACACTCAACTTGATATTGTTGTGGTTAACTATTATTCGAGCAACCTCATTATTCTTTTTGGTGTTGGAGATGGTATTTTTGTAAACAAAACAATCATTACTATGAAATATAATGCTTTTCCATCGTTTGTTTCACTTGCGCATATTACCAATGACTTATTTTTTGACATAGTTGTTGCTAATAAAGGTTTTGGAAACATAGAAATTCTCTCTAACACATGCTTACTCTAGTTCTTTTCTTATATACTTATTCATATTTATCTATTGTGACTTGTCGTAGTTATTTCTTATGTGAAAAAGATATTTTGTTTTTCTTCTTCAACTTTTTTTTACTTCTTCATATAAACACATTAATCATTCGAAGGTGGACTTTTATCTCAAAGAAATAAATTCTCAATTTGAACGTTAATTGTAGCCTTGAAAATTGTTATATATAAATTTTTATTCTTAGTTTTTACGTCAAAGACATGACTAGAAAAATGTGAAACAGAAAACGAATCTAAACACTTGGAGAATCTACTTTAAAAAATTCACAGATTTTTTTTGTTGTATGAATATTTGCAAACCTTACATTTATGAGCTTCATTTTCAAAACAACTAACCCCACGCATCGGTGTGGATACAGCCATGGAAAAACACGGATATGGTGTGGGTGTGGGGGGGGGGGGGGGGGGTTTGGGGGGGGGGGGTTCGGTATGGATGTGGGCGTGAATCGGCAGTGATGCGGGTGCCTGTGTATCGGTGAGCATACGCATACGTGTAATTGTGTTTCTGAAGAGAGGATCTACACCACGCTCACACCCGGTTCCTAGCCTCGAAAATCATAGAAAATACAGTGTTGAAAGTCGAATAAATAGAATTAAAGCTGAATTCTATCGCAAGTTTAGACAGTAAAAAATTCATCATTGGAAAAAGTGTCAATCATAATCGTCTTTGTCAGAATCCGATATTACGAAAAAATATTTATTTGCACTTCTTTGGAATGATCTTGATTCAAAATCGATTGAGAGTCTCTATTCAACAATGATTAGTTGTATACGGGTCGCATTTTTATGAAAGTAAAACGAATAGATAATTGACAAAAAAAAATCAAATGAAAAAAGCCGCTCTCAGAAATAAACGATATATGTTGAACTCTAGTTTTCAGTCGAACAAGGCTTATAAACGTTAAGAGAATAATGGTCATCTTATTTCTAATATATTAAGTGGTCAATATCATCATGATGTGTGACAAATGTAAATGAATCATAGATGAATTTCAGACGAAGAAATCGAATGATCTATTTATTCACTAATAAGAGATCAAACACAATAGCGTTGCGCGTCTTTTTTCTGATTAATTGATACGAAAATATCTTTGTACAAGAAAATTATTGGTGTCTATAAAAGAGATGGTACTACTGCTCTGGATATTTTCTCTGACCAATTGCTCTCGAAATGAAGTTTATATTGACGAGCGAAGTTTTGGTGCTTTGTGTGGCTTCTGAGCTGTTTTTGGTACGTTGGTCAATGCTTCGTATTCAATGATGTTCTAGAAAGCAGACTTGACACGAATCCTCAAACAATATTTAAATGTATAAACTGCTACTTGAACATTGATAGATTGAATTTTTTCCTTACTTTTTTGTTCTCAACTATACATAATCATTTTGTTATTTAGATCCAATAAAAAGAAAAGGCGGTTTATATTGCCTGTAAGCCAATTCATTTTTTTTTATTTGTTCGCCTAATATTATACTTTTTTCGAATGTTATGTGTACATAAAATCGATCATTAATTTTAAAATAAATATATTAGTATTTGAATATCCTAAACATGAACCCAGATTTAATTTATCATGCTGATTATTTTTTAAATTCTATCTATATTCATACGGTAAAATACTCAATGAATGATTCTTTTAACTAATATTTTAAATATAATTAGTTGCCTTTCGCAGTGACAGTACATTGCTTATAATTCATATATTTTTCAAAAAAAATGAAGATTCTTGTGAAAAGTGTCACATATTCCTTGAAAAAATATCTTACATATAGTGAAAATATTATCACTACTAGAGTTGGAATCGATTCCAATTCTGATCATTACATTTCCTAACATATCACACGAATGTTAAGAACAATATAAGTATATTATGAACAAAACAAACAAGAACAGATCAATCTATATTCTTCAAACATAAATCGATCTGCTAGTCTCAACTTTTGCTTTTCAGCAACCGATTATCTGTCAAATATTATTATTTGTAAATAAAATAAAATAATGAAAAGATAATGCAGATAAATAATTTTTTGCCAACGCGTTTCATGTTTATTTATTTAAAAATTAAAACACTCTTCAGGGCACTGCATTATGATAAAAAAGCAGAAAATTATGGAAGCAAAATAAAATTTCAAAGCAAAGTAAAAAATAAAAATGAAATAATAATCAAAATTAAAATTAAGGGAAAAACATTCATATATGAAAAGAAAAATTTTTTTATATACATTGAAAGTGAAATAAGAAGAAAGGATATTGAAATTTATGAGGGGGCAAAATTTTACACAAGTTTTAAGTTTAAAAAGGGGGGCAAATATTATGTAAAAATTGAACGAAGACAGTTTAAATTATCATAAAAGAAATCTTTCAATTAAATTTTTAAGAATAATAATCAAAGTTCAATAAGGGTGGGTCAAAGTCAAGTTTGTTAAACACTAGAAGGAAAGATGTATTTAAATTGAACTAGAAGTGAAATAGACTGGATTTAAATTGGTTTATATGATGTAAGATATTAGTATAATTATATAATATTGAATATAAATACGTATATAAGACAAATTTGATGTCAATTTTTTTTTTATTAACATCTTGTTTAAGGAAACTATGATCTTATAATATTTGCATCATATGCCAATTAAGAAAAATGAAGTTCAAAAAGTTCAAATATAATGAATTAGGATAAAAATAGAGCAGACTTTGATAGTTAATTTTCATTTTCTTTTTTCATTGATTGATATAATTTTAAATTTCAATTTAATTAAACTAAACTGTATTACATAAAATCTTAATTAAATTAAAATAAACCGTTCTTAATATAATTTTCATTTTCATTTGAATGAAATTAAACTGTATGGAATAAAATTATTTTTTAAATTAAAATAAGCTGTATTGAATAAAATTTAAAATTTTCATTGTTAAATAAATTAAAGTAGTGTATATATGAAAAAAAATATATATAAATTTTCATTTTCTTTATTTAATTGATTACTATAATTTTAAATTTCAATTGAATTAAACTAAACTGTATTGAACAAAATTTCAATTAAATTGTATTGAATAAAATTTTAAATTTTTATTTTTGAAATAAATTAGAGTAGTTTATATATATATTAAGAAAAAATATAATTTTTACAATAATTCTGGAAAATATTTAATTTATTTAATCACTTTTAAAGAGTTTTATACAATATTGTTGAAATGTTGTTTATTATTATTGACGAATGGGTTTTAATCGTATTTGATCGATGATCAATGTTTAATATGCATTCTTGTGAAAAGGTAAATGGAGAATGATAAGTTTTTAATTTTTTTTAAACGTTGATTTAAAAATACATCGATATATTGTAATATTATAAAATATATCTGATTTTTAATTCTTTTTTAACGTTGATTTAAAAATACGTCCATATATTATTATATACCAAAAGACCACGACGACGTTACAACTATTTTTTTTACTCTTTTCACTGTTCAAATGATTGCTAAGTTATTATGAATAAGCTACCTACTATTTAGGTAGAATAATATATTTATTGATTAATTATTTTATCAGTTTTTCAATTTGTTTTGAACAATCATTTAAGATGTTGTATGTATCATTCGTCTTTGTAAATTATTGACGTTTTTAGTACCTAAAATTGATCTGATTTCATTAATTGGAGACCGATCAAAATACTTATTCCAAAGTATGTGAAATTTTTGCGGAAAGAATTTCATACTTGAACAATAAGTGAAGTGAACAAAGGTGTAGGTGGGTGTGGGTGTGGGTGTGGGTGTGGGTGTGTGATGGTGTGTGTGGGGTGTGAGTTAGGTATTCACCAGTTCCAGTCATGACTGGTACCCAGTCCGACTGGTAACCAGTCATGACCGGTACCCAGTCTGACTGGTACCCAGTCATGACTGTATACCCAGTCATGACTGGGTCATCAGTCATGTAATCTTTAGTTTATTAAATGAATAATACTACCCTCTTTTTTGTCACATAATAAAATGATATGAATCTATTAAAGACCTAATACGAAATATATCATAGTATTAGTTGATTATTCTTGTGTTACTATGTGTCAACTGTTGTCACATACGGTATTATAAAATAATTTCAGATGAAATATTTCTGTCGATATAACTGAGGATGAGTATTTTTTCTCTCCGTCGCATATTTACACACCGAAGGTTGAAAGTTTTGTCAGAAAAAGTGCACTGTTCGACTCTTTATGAATTTAAAGCTGTGAGTTAACTACAGATACTCTGTGATTGTAGTATAGTCATTAATATAAATTAAAGTTATGCTTCAAACGCACTCAATTTAACCCGTTCGTGTTTAATATAACAGCCAGCTTCAAAAAAAGTATACTACATTGTTGGTCAGTTCTGAAATCAAGAAGAACAATTCTGTACTCATACGAATTGGAAGTCTGTATAATTAGATAGATAGTAAAAAGCAATGGCATAAAAAATAAGTTATGGTTTTGTGCTGCTTTTCCTCTCATACATAGTCAGTGTCTTATTTATTGTCTACTGGAACTTTATAATGAAGATATGCAGCATATAAGTTATAAAAACTACTTGATTTGTATCTCTTGTTTTTTGACGATACTTATGTATTCTAATGATTGCACTAACAGTTATTATTAGCTTAAATTCTGTCTCAATGAAACGAAACTCCATGATATGATATGCAGGTTTTTTTGTGGCTTAACTCAATTGAAAGCTTTTATTTAAACATTCACCCTCCTCAATAACAAATAGTTCTCTAAAATTTTAAAAAAATTGACAAAGAAAGAAGTGTAGCTGCTCAGCCAGACAAACGTTAAAAATTAACGTATTTAAACGCCTTAAGGTTCTGTAATAACGGTGTTTAAACGAAATATTATCATTAAAATGCCGTTATTCAGTGAGTTTTAAACAAATTAAAACGCGTTACAATATTCCAAAGCATTAAAATGGGTAATTATTTCGAAATTTACGTGCTTTTCGTCGTTATCACTATTAAACATACACGCTAAAAAATGTTCACAAGACTAAATAGGTTTTCATGCTGTCATTTCTTATAAATAACTCAAAATATTTTTCGCTTCTTGGATACTGGTGTACCCGATCAATTATTAGTTCACTATAGCCTCTTTATTTAACAAAATTTAGTTCTTATATAATTAATTATCCATTTTATCTTTGTTACTTGCATAGTTTTAGACTCGCATTTTTTATCAACTTTCAGTTATGTGATATTGATTAACGAATATTTTTAGTTCTTTTCTCTCTGTAGTGACTGAAGTACATACAAAATTCATTCGGCAGATATTTATTTTATCAATTCTAGTTGTTTCAATTTTCTTCAAACATATAATTTATCAGTAGTAATAAGGATAAAAATAATGCTTTTGGTTCTTATTGTCTTCAGTCTTTTTCTCTTTATGTATTGCTCTATCTCTGATTCTTCCTATTATCAAATTGACATGTCATGAAAATTTATATTTCTTTTTTCTTCTACGTTCTTTAAAAAATTCATGAACTCATATTTTCGTAACAAAGCTCACCTGAACTGGGACAAAGAAGTGTAGAATATTGTTTTTTATACAAGCTATTTGCCAGACAATGCTTCATTTCCGCTTTTTGGTTGAAAATTTGTTTTGGTATGTTACTCCTTTTTACCATCTTCAAAATTAATTGATTGATGCCGCTCATATAGAGAAAATTGTTATGCATATATTTGCTTCTCCAAGATACTAAGTTAGCTAGTTTAAAATAAATCAGGTTATTATTTAAAAAAGTTGATAAAATTTATCTAATTGAGTGCAGGTCTAAGATTAAAGGTACAGATACATAGACATAATGGTATCGTATCGATGCACTAATATATAGAATGGAAATATAAGGATACGAGTATAATACTACAAAACTAAGTACACAGAAATAAGCATGCAAGAAAGAACACGAAAATTATAGCATAGGTATGAGTCGATAGGCATAAGAGTATATAAATAAGCCACATAGGTATAGGTTTTCGGCAGTTACGAATATGGAATTATAAGACTGGATATATAAGGCTATAGGAACAAGAGTACATATATAAGAGTATGAACATAAAAGCATCCTAGATATGAAGACATAGAGATAAGGATATATGTAGATATAAAATAATATGCAGATATAGACAAAGATATAAGACTTTAAGAGTAACAACATAGGTGTAAAGATGTTGGGATAATAGTACCCTCGAGTAATCACAAATAAATTTCAAATGATCATGATGCATTACATTATCTATCTTGTCTATAGAACATAGTTAACTGCTCTATCGAATGTTTAACAATACAGTTATACAGCAGAGCTTCAAATGGGTCAGCTTATGAGCCAATATGAACTGAAGGTCTCTTGAGAGTTACTGTGTGATAGCACAATGTGAAACATTTTCTTAACGAGCCTATGAAATAACTGCAGTGTTTTTCACAGGAATTTTCTTTTGCCATAGACTATTTCTTTCAATAGTGAGTGTTCTTTGTCGAAAATTTTCTGCACATGTCGATTAATATGTGCCAATGGTTTTCGAAACAAAACATTTATTATTGAAAGAAACATCCAACGT